GAAGCACCTCAGAAATCTGAAGTGTAGCGGCGGGAAAGAAAAAAAGTACAAAACAAAATGTATATGTATTGATATCAAATACAAATATCAAGATATAGTGTTATGTAAAAATTACAAGTTGTAGAACTGTGCATACAATTCTGTTCAGGCAGGGGGAAAAATATATACTTGTATATGAACAGAAAACTGCTATCAATGGTTATCTCTGGGGGATGAAATATGGATCATTGAGAATTACTTATCATCTCCTTTTATGCTGTTTTAATATTTTAAAGACATGAGCATTCAATTTGTTAAGTATTCTAAAAATATTTAAATAATAAATAAATATGTACAATAAAAAAAGTTGCACAACCCACTCTTTATCATACACCAATATCTAGTTAAACAGGCCCAAGGTCTTTTCTATAGAAAATAATTATAGGTGCACTTGTGTGGCTTAAGTTATAAATGCAAGGTTGTTCAGAGCATGAGATGGAGCAGAAGGGGAAACCACGCCGGTGGTTGGTGGATTCACAAATCATGGGTCCAAAGAGCTAATACATCCATCTCAGGAGCAGGCCACTCACCGCATCAGTGTAGGTGTCCTCAGCTGGCTTCCAGTCGCCCCCAGGGAAGCGACTCTCATTCTGATATACTTCATCTGTGAACTCCGTATGACCCGCATCAGCCTCAGTCAGCAAGCTGCAGGCGAGGCTTGTGTTACCAAAGGAGAAATGATAGCCGACAACCCCGGCTCTTTCCAATGATCCGGGACCATCTACAATCTGGGGGTGGCACCAGTTCCCTCCTTACTCTAGCCCTGTGGGTTCTCCACTTCAAACTCCTCTTTGTACTAATAACTTTTGACATTCCTTTGAAGAAGGGGCCTGCTGGAACAATGAGACCTAAATTATAGAGAACGCCTCAAATTAGCAGGGTTGCTCTTTCTCAGTAATTAGGGTGGGGACTGGGAAAACAGGGTTGTGGGCAGCTTCTTCTAAGGACCTCATGTTCCATATTTCTGTTTCAGTTTAGGGTCGTTCAGCTTTTTCTCAGCAAAGCTCTTGGCTAACAGTTCAAAAGAACAGAGAGTCGTCCTCCCTTATTCCCCCTATTTTAAAAAATCGGCGTGGAGACAGTCTCGTGAGGCCAACTATGGAAATTTTTACTCGTGGCTTGCTCAGTCTATGTAACACAAACTGAAGGGAGGAGTTAAATTTTCTGGATAGTTCTAGGTAGACAGCCAAACCAGGTCATTTAAGACTGCAAACTCCATTTAGGCCCTTGAAAAATCTATACTGACTCTCTGCCATGCCAATTTTCTTCTTGGATTGGGAACTATTTTGACAACCCATAGAGAAAAGTACAGAAGTTCCAACTTTGACTTAAATCTTCTGCCAGGCATCCACTCAAGTGAAGTTTCTTTTTCCTTTACCATCTCTACATCTTTTCCCTGCTGTATCCTACCCTAGAATCAAGCATTGGAAAGAAATCAGGAAACAAATATTCCCAACCATTTGTATAAACTGGGCTCATCCATCACTTCTCTGGGCCCCAGAGAAGGAGAATAGAAAACCTGGCTACTGCCTGTGGGGTCCCATCCAGCCCTGACATGCTTTGGCTTTCTATTTTTCCAATCACAATGCCCCCTGCCTTTCCTTGTCCTCATTAACCTTCCTTCATTCTGTCCAATTCAAATCCTATTTCCCTTCTCCTTATTAAGCAAACCCAACTCCATCCAAAGTAAGCAGCCATGGGTTAAAAGCAATCATGTGCAAACACTGGGTCTCAATAGACCAGACCCAGCACACTCATGCCCCTAATGCCCATGTGATTACAGAAAACAAATGTGGACATAGAGAATGCAAACTCTAGTTTAAGGCCGTAAAACCCAACTTCACAAGCTTGTTTCCTCCAAACTCAAGTACACCGTCATAAGATGGAGGAGACAAGGGAGGGCTCTGGTCCCAGTGCTGCTGGCAACACTCAGAGACCAGGCTTCGGTTCCCCCCCAGACCCCAGGGAAAACACGCTGCCCCTCTCTACTATTTCTTTCTTTTTTCTTTTTAATAACAGCTCTTGAGATGCAATTCACATACCATATAATTCACCCATTTAAAATATACCCTCTACTGTTTCCTACAGATGTTCCAGCATAAAAGTTGAGGGCTGGTTTTGCTACCCAGGCTAGACTTGTACCACTTATAACCTGTATGCCTTTGGATAAGTTGCTTAATCTCTCTAGGTCTCAATTTCCTCATCTGTTGAGATAATATTTGTTGGGAGATAAATCTCTGTGAGTCTCTTGCATTTCTGCACAGAGGCTCCATAACTTTGGTTACAGACTATCTTTTCAAGGATGTTTATATGGGAAACAATCTTGGAAGACAGAGATAATATCTCTTCAGGGCAAAGAGACAGCATGCTTACTACCCATTATAAAATATTTGGGTTCCCTAAGCTCAGGCTTCCTCTCCTGTTACACAATCCACTGCATGTGCAAGCATCATCTGACAGTCTTTCGCTATGGGAATTGGGGGCTCAGAGAAATACAGTAAATGTATTTCTCTCTGGTACTACTTTTGCTATGGGCAATAAAGTCCTTTGTCTCTAAACCAGGAGTCTTGTGTCTCCTGCCAGAATCCATGAAACTGTGGCAGGTGACCTTGATAAACTTATAAGTGGGGTAAAAATCTACGATCCTGCATAACTTTTGACTACCTATCTTGTAGGGCTATAGTCTCGATTCAATAAGATGATATCATTGCTTAGCACACTGCTTGACACATTTACACATAATAAGTTCTCAATAAATGTTAGTCTCAGGGGCTTTTATATTTGTGCTATAATGGGACACTGATGACATCTTTCAAGTTTCTATGAATTTCTATGGACTTACTCCTGCTCACTGTGTGTTACGTAAATATTATCAAGAACGATGATGGAAATTTCTAGGGAAAAGCTTCATTTCCATTCCTTTTCTCAGAAAATGGAAAACTTACCTTCTTTCAGGATCGACTATCCAGTCTCCTTCCCATTCCCAGCCTTTTGGAGGCAAAAAGAATTCCCTCTTGAGTTTTATTTTTCCTGTGACATCAGAAAATTTATGACGACCCACTAATCCAGAAGTGCCCCATTTTCCAAACATAAGAGCTTGATTTTCATACTATTAAAAAAAATGGAGAAATACCATCAGAAAGAAGGAAATCAAGCCAGACCATAAGTTTTCAAGTCCATCTAGGCCTTAGAACAGAAATGAAAAAGATTAGCAATAGAAATAAAAAATCTTTATACTCAGAAGGTATGGACCAAACTTGGGCTGTTACTGATTATGCAACTTATGTATGGTAAACCCATCATCTTTCTAAGACGCAATACTCTCATCTGTAAACTGGAGATAATACTATCTTTCTTATAAAGTTATTCTGGAGTTCAAATGTGCAAATAATTGAGAAAGTGCTTTGTAAACAGTGGTATATCATGCTGGCTGTTTCTATTATTATTTTAAATAGCTCCAAATAGTTATCTCAACCTAATCTTTTAGATAACTTTAAAAGTCCTCAATTTATGAATGTGCAGGCTTCTGAGTTTATTTGAAGTCTACTGCCTACAAGTTGGGGCACATTTCCCCATAGAAACAATATTATAATTGATGCTACATTTCTCAGGCAGTCCACAAAGAACCCATCTGAAACATGAAGGTCCTTTAGCACCCAGCTTTTATGGGGCCTAAAAGTTCTGAGCCTTCATCCCCAATGGAGTATAGCAGGTAGACCAAGACCTTTCCGAAAGCAGGTTTCGTGTAAATGGCAGACTCTGGTTTACAGGGCATTCCTTTCTAAGTTAGAGTTTGTAAATCTGCAATGGTCTGCTCTTTACTATGTCAACTAGCAAAAGGGTTGAGGTTTGCCATGGGCAAGTGCCCCTATTTAGGTCCAAGCTGAAATTTCCATTTTTCTGTTGATGAACCCACTGAGAAGATGATTGCATACGTGACAGTGGAGTTCTTGGCTGAAGGAGAAAGGAAGAAGCTTGAGTAGAAGCCTAATGGGTAAACTGGTGCCTGACTCAGATATCGGCTCTGAGCTCTGAGAGCAAATGAGCTTCAGGCAGCAGCTAAAGGAGCTGTTGTCACAGGGTCTGTAAGACTTGGGGGCATGTGCATGGCTCCTTTGGTTTCCAAGCAACAAGGACACAGAATGAAGGAGCAAGGCATTCCTACCACTTCTGCTTGGAAGCCATCATGGCTGTAGTAAAATCCAGGCAAGGAGCTTGGCATGGATAAGAGGGCATCGGCAGCAGTGGAGATGGGGCCTCATGTGGCTCTGAGGCAAAGGCCTTTAATCAGCAACTTTGGGGCAGAACCATTTTCACATGTGAAGCACCTCAGAAATCTGAAGTGTAGCGGCGGGGGGCATATTTTGCAGAGAACTGAGGTCTGGTATTAGCACAGGATGGCAAGAACCAGTGAAATCTCCATTATTGTTATGAATGTGCCCCTACTGGTACTCACAGGATGTTAGAATCTAGAGTCACACAAAACAACTGAAATGGGTGGGTCATCTCTTTACATGAGTTGAAACTCCAGTTTGCTCTATGCATGGAATGATCTGGAAATGGGAAAGGGTGAAAGGGAGTTCTGGACTGTTCGACCCATGCTCAGTGCTAGCTTCTCCGGGATTAGCTCCAGCCAGTGTCAGAGGGCAGGTGAATGCCAAGAAGTCCTACAGGAAAGCAGGAGCAAGCCTCTCCTATGTGTGCTTTGGTGCTCCGGGCTCCACACTGCCCAGCTGATTGGAAGCCAGTATCCACTACTCAGGGCCTCCCCTGCAGCCTCTAGCACACCCTCTATTTATCTCCAATCGCACTTCTAAACTTGCATTGTGAGGACTTTGTGTGTCTCCCACATGTTTCATTGTTTCTCAGCATTGTCCACTGATGCCCCATCCATATCCATTCACATTGGAATTATTGCTGGTGCTAATCCCTAACTCAGAATCAGAAACCCTTGAGTGGCTCTGGCAGTTGGTATGTTTAACAAGACATTCAGTTTTACAATCACGGCAATAGATGATAAGATCTTTGAGGAAAGGGCTTGGCTTCCTTCATCAGCTTCAGTATCTGCCTCAGTATCTGGCATAAAGCCACCACTCCCTAAAAGCTTGGATGGATGGATGGATGGATGGATGGATGGATAAATTCTGTTATCGTGTATATAAATATTTATTCAGAAATACTTACAGGACCCTACTAATATGTCAGGTACTGTTAAATAAATAAAAATAAAAAATAAAAAATGGCCATGGGTTTTCCGGCCCATGAGAACCACAATCCTGAACCAGCATGAGGCACAGGGGTGAGCAGCAGGAACACACGTACAAATTAACTAGAATGACCATAGTCTTCTCCCCCATTTATTTGAGCATGAAAACCCATCTGTAGAAGCATGGAGTTTCATCAGAAAATTGTCAGAAGACACCCACTGAATATATCTAATAAGTTTACATCAGTAAGTGCTCTGAGTTAAAAATAGAATGCAAAAAAATAATCCAAATAACTGCTGTTAGCTGTAAAAGTTTGTGAAAATTATTTTCATTGGTTTAATTGTAATGAGATTTTTAATTAACTAAGTGGATTTTTAACTCAGGGAGGGCTTTACAAATTATGTCTATTGTTTTTTGAAGTATTCAGGCAGAATATTCATTGCCTTTGGGCAACCCATCAGAGGCTACCCCTCAGTGAGAAATGAGCCTCCTGTGGCTTAAGACTCCTGACCCCAAGCAGGTTTCTCAAGGTCTGCACCTCTCAAGTGCCCTCATTCCTGGGTTGTCTGTGTGTGAATCACTCTGATGTGCCCCAGTGCTGATAATCAAGTCAATCTTTCCCCTTAGTTTATGGTCTTACCGAAGGGATTGTAGGTAGTAGTGATGGCAGTGGTGGGTTTTGATGTTAATGTTTTCTCTAGGGATGAAAAGTAAAAGTACCAGCCCCCCAACAGAGTGATGACATTAAATGTACCATTTCAGCAAAGACGGTGAACGTTCCTTCTGCGAATCTATTGAACTTCTTCTCAACAGCACTTAAGCCCAGCCAGATGTTCACTCGCAACTCCACAGGCACCTTTGGTCCATTGTTTTTTTCCTTCGGATACTGTGAGATGCATAATAACATGATATGTTATGCTGGGCACAGCACAGTGTGTGACATTAAGTTCAAGCCAAAAGCAGCCTGAACATCTAATCATTGCTCTCACCAGTCTAATTTTAAGTTTGCGTAGTTAAAATATTTCCAAAGGACCCTACAGCAAAGATTACAATGATAAGTAAAGCAGTGGTCCTCCAAGTGTGATCCATGGACCCGCGTGTGTCCTTGAGACCTTTTCAAGAGGTTCACAGGTCAAAACTATTTTCCTAATAATACTAAGATGTTACTTGTCTTTTTCACTGTATTGACATTTGCACTGATGGTGCAAAAGCAGCAGTGGATAAAACTCCAGGCACTGTAGCAGGAATCAAGGCAGTGACACCAAAATAAAATGCCAGTATTACTTAAGAATTCCTTTGAAAAAGCAGTAAAAATACAAATTTTATTAAATCATGATCCTTAAGTACAGGTCTTTTTAGTATTTTGTGTGATGAAATGAGAAGTATACACAAAGTGTTTCTGCTACATATTAATAAATGTTTGTCTTGAGAAAAAGTTCCTGTGAAATTGTTTGAGTTGTGAACTGAACTAGCCTCCCCCACCTTTTTTTTAAACGAAGTACCTTTTTTACTTGCAACAGCGATTGACAGACAAATATGGTAATTCAGACTTGGGTATGGGGCAGACACTTTCTTGAACATAAACAAAGTGAGCCTGTCACTTCAAGGTCAAACATTGACTGTATTTTGTTGCCAAAAATAAAATTCAAGCTTTCAAGTAAAAATAAGAATTTTGGAAAACTTGTATCTGTCATGGTAAGCTTGATAGCTTCCCGATACATAAAGACTTTTCTGATAAGTGATATTAATGAATGTTATTTTTTTTTCTATATTGTGTGATGACATGTGTCAACATTAGGAAGATATGAATAACTCAGTGAACAAATATTTTCCAAATGATCAATGCTTAATGTTACAAAATCATGCATGGACAAAAGAGCCATTCAAAGTACAAGATAGACCAATGGATTTTAATGTAGAAAAGAATGAAAAGTTCACTGATATGTTTTAAGATTTCACATTGTAATTAACCTTTTAAAGCTACCACTTGTTGAGTTTGGTGTTGTATCAGAGATGAGTATCACAATTATCTGAAAAGGTTATTAAAATACTCCTCTCTTTTCAAGCTACGTATCTATGTGGGGTCAGGTTCTCTTATGTATTTCAACCAAACAACTTATTCCATCAGATTAAATGTAGAATATTAAATATATTCATATTAAATATATATAAATGTCGCAGATATGAGAATCCAGTTATATTTCTGTGAAGCCAGACATTAAAAAAGGTTTGCAAAAATGTAAAACAGCATCACTTTGCTCTCTGAGTTTTAAAGAAAATACTTTATATTTTATAACATATTTATAAATATACATATTTTATAAAAACATGCAGTTTATATTAACATGTAATGGGTTTATTATTGTTTTAAAATAAGTTAATAAATATTTTTTAAATGTCTTAGTTTTAATTTCTATTATAGTAAATATTGGTAGATATAACCCACATAAACTAATGCTTCCTGGGGTCTTCAATAATTTCTGTAAAATTATTATTTTTTTTGTTAAAGGGTCCCAACACCAAAACAAAAAAACAAAAACAAAACAAAGAAAAACACTGAATTGAATAACTTCCTAAACTGGATAATGAGTATTAACAAAATCAATAAATATATAAAACATTCTCTTAAAAGCATTTTGCTGTTTATCCACTGAGTTCTAAAACCGAATACAGAGAAAAACACTTTGCTTCCTCTCCCACCCCCTGTGAAATTTTATTTATTAATCAGTTTGCTTCCACCCACTGCTGAGGTCAATTATAATTGTGGTTCTATCTTAAGTAAAATTTATTCCACCAAGACATACTTGAAAGAAGATAATCACTCTGTTTCTATTTTCACCCTCCTGATTAAAAAGCAACGAGTACATTTATTAAAAATTAGCACAGGGCCGGCCGAGTGGCGCGATGGTTAAGAACTGGCTTGGGACGCCAGAGGGCCCCGGTTCGGATCCCACATATGAGGGCCAGTGACACTGCCCTCTACAGCTAAGATGCTGAACAACAGCTCGACCTGGAGCTGGGTTGACATGAGTTGCCAGCAACGGCGTAGGCTGCAGCCCCTGTGGCAGTGGGTTGCCATGGGCTACCGTGTGTAGCCAGCAGTCAGCGTGAGCGGCCAGCAGCCGCAGTGAGCGGCTGTCCAGAAGCCGGTGACCTGCCTCGCCCGGGAAGAGCGCAATGATGGTGCCAACTTAGGCCAGTGAAGCAATGTCCTCCACAACTAGACTGAAGAACAAAACAACAGCAACTTGTCTGTTCCCCTTACCCCAGTTCCCCAATAAAAATCTTAAAAAAAAAATTAGCGCATATCTCCTTGTTTTAAGAGAACACTCTCCCCTGACTATTATTTTTTCTTCTTGCTCTTTATTCCTTTCCCCCAAATCCAAAGAATTCAGTTGAGGTCAGCCAGGGAGAGGGATGTCAAATGTGCAACTGGGAACTATTCTGATCTCTTTGTTTCCAGCCCCTTTGGTTCTCCTTATACACACACAGAACAGTTCTTAATCCAGGTTGCTAGAATGGACGTACAAATTCTATGAAGCTCCTTAATCATATGTATAATATTGGATGCATGTGAGATATGCATTCTTCTAGAAGAAAGGGCCAGTAGCTTTCATCAGGCACTTAAAAGAGTCCATGACTCTAAAAAAGCTCAGGACCCTTGCCCTCAAGTAGTAATCCTTAACATTTTTCAATTTGAGGACCCGTTTGGTTAGGGCATAGATTCCATGGACTATCTATATTACCTTCTCTTTTTTTCTGTTTCCCAAACACTCACTAGAATGGAAGGGAAGAAAGGCACTGCTTTACATGTGACGTTAGACGTGGAAAATTGCCAGAATGCAAAGCATTCACGATGCCATGTTAATATCAGTATCACAAAGGCCTCTACGGATGAGTCTTTGAATGAATGCCAGCAGATCTGAGACCACTCTCTGGGAATTACTACCCTAGAAGAAGGGGCCAAAATGGGCCGGAATTGATCACGAGTGTCCTAGCTATTCAATGACCAGCAAATCATAAAGCAGGCTCTTCTCAGGAACAGGGGTTTTGCATTTAAGTACCTCACATCACACAGTGATGAAACCATACCTTCAGAAAGATGGTTTGGGTTTTCCCACAGTATTTCCCAGATGCATTCTCCTCACTGGTGGAGTATAAAACCTGATGGGCGGGAATGCGTGCATAGGCCAGTCTTTTCTCTCCACGGATCATCCAGATGATAATGTCAGGCATACTGTTCTGAGGCTGGTCATGTGAGTGGGTGAAAAAAGAAGCAAAAGCTAGAGTCAGTCTACAGGCAGAGGCTGGAGACCCTGCAGGCTGGGACCTCATGGCTCTGCTTAGCAAAGGAGCGCTATGGTTAGGGCTTTGCCCACATTCCTGAGTCTCACGTCTTCTGGGACCTACTGTACTCTGAGCCCACAGGGTGGGGAGCAGGCCGTGGCTGGCCAAAGGGCATAGAGCAGCGGTTCTCAACCTGTGGGTCACGACCCCTTTGGGGGTCGAACGACCCTTTCACATGGGTCGCCTAAGACCATCGGAAAACAAAAAGATACTTACATTACGATTCATAACAGTAGCAAAATTACAGTTATAGAGTAGCCACGAAAATCATTTTATGGTTGGGGGTCACCACAACATGAGGAACTGTATTAAGGGGTCACGGCATTAGGAAGGTTGAGAACCACTGGCATAGAGGGAAGCAGAGGGGGGCTTCACCTGCTAAAACCCCTGCCTACTCGGTGGGCTCTGACAGGTATTTTAGGAAATAGCCCCTCTTATCTCACCCATCATTTGTGGAAAGCCATCAAAAGCAGTTAAAAGGCTATAGTTTTAATATATTTTTATAGGACACAGACAGAGCATCTCTGTCTCACAATCCTATATGTGCCAAACCTGAAATATCAATTTAGTTTTTTAAAACCCCTTTTTTTCTGATTATAAAAGTGATATTAGTTCATTATAGGAAATTTTGAAAGTCTTGAAGCATAGAAAATAGACCATAAAAATTACCTGTAATCATGTTTTTTCAAATGTGTTTCTAGCTACAAATATATTACACCCCTCCCCGCAATCTCTGAAGGTCAGAAGGAGGTTCTATTCTCTTGTTCTTCCATCCCACAGAGATTGATGGCAGCCAACATTTATCTAACACGCACTGTGTTCCCTGCACTGTGCTAAGCCTTTTACACTCATCATTTTCTTTAATCTTCACAAAGCAATGCTGTGAATTGAATACTACATTTACCTCCATCTTACATATGGGGAAACTGAGGCTTAGAGAGGTTGAATCGCTTGTCCAGAGTTACACATGGTAGATCCAAGATTCAAAGCCAGGTCATTACAAATCCAACCAAAGGTAACATTTTAATCCTCTGTACTACACAGATCTGCTACTTTATCACTCCACTTGTCATATTCTTTGACTGTACAATGATAATAATTTGTCTTCTTTGAAGACATTTCCAGGACCACCAACTGAAAATTCTTCTTCTGCCCTTACTTCAACGACATTCATCCACATTACCCATTAGCATCCCCGCCCAAAGCTCCTGATTTCATCATCCTTCAGAGCTGTTCAATATCCAAGGTAATCTACTAGATTTTTTTTACCACCAACTCTATCCTTGGTGCCATTCCACAGAATCCCTCTTTCATGTTAAGTGACATTTGTGTAGTTTAAAAGTCCTACCTCTTCAGTCAGTTGCATTAATTTATCAAGCCAGTCCTCAATTTCCGCCAGTGTGGGCTTCACCTCTGTGGCCTCAGACCTCATCCTCACAGCTGCCTCATGAATCTGGGAGAGCGATCTAGACCGCAACTTTCGGATTTGACTATCTAGAATTGTGACATTAGGTTTTCCTTCCATGAAAGGCAACGTGTATCTAAAAAAGAAAAAGAAAAAAAGAAAAGAAAGAGTTGCAGAATAGCTTTATAGACTTCAGATATGTCAAAGTCATTTATGTTTAGTTTCCTTCTTTCAAATCACATCCATTTCCTAGTTGATGCCACAGCATGACCAGGTTTAAGCTAAAATCGATTGTTTCTGGCATTGGTGGAGCAGACATGCCAGTTAAGACTCTCCTAACTCTCATGGGGAATGCAGGGTAATTAAAATTCTAAAGCAATTCCTTGGGTTTGACCCAAGACTTATGGAATCACTGGAAAAAAGATGAATACAGGAGCAACAGTTGGGAGAAATGGCCTTCCCTCCCTTTGCTTCCTACAATGATTGTATAGACCCACAAAATGAAGGAAGAAGAAGGGAAATAAGAGACCATTTAGCCAAAGGGTTCTTAACTTAGAGACCACACACCCCTAGGTTGTCCATGGGTGGACCTCAGGAGGTCTGTGAATCCCTGGAACTTATAAAAAATAGTATATGTCTGTATTGACAAACAGTATGATATAATGATGAAGAACATAGGCTTTGGAGAAGACTATCTGGGTACAAATCCTGGTGCCACCATCTACTAAGTTAATCTTGATAAGTTAATCTCTTGTTTTCCTGTCTTTGAAGTGGGAAAATAATATCTTCCTTTTAGGGTTGTTGTGAGAAGTAGATGCATTAATATGTGGAGAGCATTTAGAGCAATGCCTGTTGCATAGTCTAAAGAATGTCGCCATCATCATCTTGTTGCTGTCTTTATCATTGGCATCATCTCATCAGATAATTCAAAGGGCCCAAAAGGTGAAGAACCATTTGTATAGGCCAAGCTCTCATTCAACATGAGAGGTCTAGAACAGCTGAGCTGGGGCCACATTTAGCCTTCTTCTTCTAGGCTTCCCTCTAACCATGGCAGCTGGCAGGGCCACAGTGTGAGGTTGTCACCAGTTCTGGGAAGTTCCACGCACGTTGTCCCTACCTAGAATTTCCATTGGTTTGAATTTCACCCAGCTTCCTAAATGAAGGAAATCCTAGCATGACTTCCCTTAAACACAAATTTCCTGTTACATGAAGTTAAAAAGATTCCAATTTAATTCTTCAAAAACAGTTCACATGGATTTGGTTCTTCAAAAGCAGATTCTTGGAGAACAGTGAAAATAGGTATGTCTGTGTTTTGCTCAGCTAACCTTAAAATTCACATTTTCTACATGAAAAGTATTACCAAATGTTTCTGTTTGGTTACATTAGTAATTATGGCAGTGCACTGGAAGGGTTAAGTCCCTTGAATGATTCTTTGAAGCAAAAATATATATGGAAGCTGTTAGCTCAAAAGTCACATGAGACTTTCAATAAATAGATGTTGACTGTGTGAAACACGTAGCAGGAAGAGGAATTGTGCTGATAAACCCAACTCTGGGCATCAGATGCATCATGTCACCTCTTTGGGTCTCTGTTTTCTCATCTATAAAATAAAGAGACTGGAAGAGATGGCCTGTTAGAAAACAGATTTAAATTTTCTGAAGATAAACAAGTACTCAGCAGTACTTAGTTGATCTTAGTTGCATTTTTTAAAATTTATTGGGGTGAACTGGTTAGTAAAATTATATAGGTTTCAAGTGTATAATTCTATAATACATCATCTGTATATCACATTGTGTGTTCACCACTCAGTCAATTCTCCTTCCGTCGCCATACATTTTCAGCAGCATTTCAATTACCCAGTTATACCACTAGAAGGCACAAGAAGACAGGGAGACAAGGCATTAGCCTAGAGCGGGAGAAATGTGCCTGGTTATTGCAGCTTGTGAGAAGTATTCAATAATTCTTTTCTTTTGGAACTTCCCTGTCCGCTGCTTTATTGGCCAATATTTAACATTAATCACTTCCCCCTTTGATGAGCTGTTTTCCCAAGTCATAGTTATGAAAGGTTCTCTGGCTCAAATCAAATCTCCTGGCTTGGCCAGTGTTCATTAGGCAATTCAGTAAAGAGGAAGTAAAAAGGCTGTTTCTAAAATGTGTTGCAATTAGGAACGTTGTTCTGAAAGACAAAATTGATGCATTTCTTTTCCCCGTGGAATTCAGGAGTCACCTTTCTCCGGGAGGTGGATATACAAGAATTGATGGGAGGCGGAGGCACAGACGTGCTCCCGCCTCCTCTCACCCAACCCCTAGTCTGAGACTGCGCTGGGATGTGCTTCCCAGAGTTAGGCCTTAGCCTCACTAGGCTGCTTTAAAATTGACACCAAATCCGAAAGTGAAGTTTTTCCTGGTGGTGAGTCAGAGACTCCTCCCACGGGCAGCCTTTTGAGAAGTTTGACTAATTCAAATTCATTTTTCAGGCAAACACTAGAAACAATTCTTATAGTTTAAGGGAGGGAAGCATGACTGGGAATTCTGAGATATACAAATACAATCACTATACCTTGTGTCTTCTATAACTTCATCAATCAGCTTCAACCACAGTTCAGCCAGCTGGTGTGCAGGAATTTTACCTTGTATCGCTGATTTTAGAGACTCTATGTTTGATTGCTGAGAATTTGGAAACAGAGGCAATAATTGGTAATTATGCATTACACTGTTATGCCCAGTAAAGGTTTAGCTCTAATTTTCAAGAAAAAAATACACAAAAAGACTTAACAGAAAAACCAGAAGGTTTTCTTTTTACACTTAATAATGCTCACCATAGCTTAGCACTATTTATTTTTCTTCAAAATGCAATCAACACTGATATGCATACATAATAGGATAACCTTTTCATATAGCTTTGACCTTCGAAACCATGTAAATATTTTATGTATTCACAAAGGAATAAAATAAAACCAACAAAGATGGGGGGAAGAAACCCTAAAATGGAATATAAAACAGAAGCAAATGAACCTAACTGTATTTCAGATGAATAACGAAACTACATTGAACTAACCCAAGTAACTTTTGAACACAACGTTTTGACTATATATCCTCAGTTTAAAGGAACTAAAGAAGCATAAACACATCAAACTCTAAGTTTGTTTTTCACAGTGGTTTATCTTTGGATTTTAGGATTGAACAAATGAGTAAATATATTGAGGATAATTAAAGCCAGATTTCTCCCTATTGAAGAAGGGAGTTGTAAATACAGAAATAGGGAAGACTAGAATAAACCCTGTGGTATTAGAATGGAGGTGCAGTTGTCCTTATGAACTCATTGCTTTTAGTTTATTGATAGATACATAAGTAAATATACATATAAACATACATGTGTGTATGCATGTAAGTTTGTCTGCCTAGGAGGCCTAGAAGCAATGACATCTAAGTAGTACTGGGCACTCTTGTTTTTTACATGCAATTCCCACTAAAAGGAATCAGGGTTCCCTGCAGAAATGGTGACTCCAGAGCTGGGGTAGGAAAAATACAAGATAAGCCCAGAACATACTGCTATGTCACTCTGAGCATTTGCCAACAGGCAGGTTGAGAGAGTGTCCGCCATAATTATTGAAAGTCCTAATCATGGAAAACCACCATCCTGTCCAAATTAGCAAGAAATTAGAACACTCTGGTTCATGGAGAAAGCTGATGAAAAGAACTAGCATAAAAAATGCTGAATACCTGTCAGGGAAAAAAAATCTTCTACCCTGCAATATTTTGGCTGGACTAACAATCAATTAACACAAGACAGGTTAGCAAGTGAAAAACAAATTAAAGTTTAATAACATGTATGCCTCCTGTGTACATGGGAGAGACGCAGGAAGACTGAGTAACCTGTCAAAATGGTGGAAGACATCACCTTAAATACCACTTCAGCTAAGTACAGAAGAAGATGTTAGAGATGGAGTCAGTGATGACAGACTACCGAGAAAAGCACAGGGAACAAGGGTAAGGCTGTCATGCAGATTTAAATCCATGCTTTCTCCATGGATAGTGAAGGTGGGCCAGGTTTAGTGAGGGAATCGCCCTTACAGATAGAGATTTCCCTCACAGATGTAAATGTCCTTTTACAAAGATAACTTCTACTTGATTTTCAGAGCTTCTCCCAGGTCTGCTGTTTTCTTAAAGTTGACCAGCCTAAACTAATACCCCAAAGAGGCAAATTTTGAGGTGGCAAACTCTGCTCCCCTTCATACCCAAAACATAATTAGAATAGAGGTATGACCAATTCTCCACCAATTCCATTGAGATGGGGGATTGGGAATTAATTACCACAACTACACTACATATTAATTGTAGCTTTATTATGTGAACAATTATACTTAAGTCTAAAATTCTCTTTCAATATTGTCTGTACAGCACAAAAAATATTTTTAGTTTTTCCATGGAGTGTTAGATCACATATATTCCGGGACCCCCACACGTCTTGGTCCAGCCCTGACAGAGGTTAGATCTTAGAAAAAAATTAACACTAATATAATTTGGAAAACAAAACACTAATACCAGATGGATTTTATACTGATACCTGACAGTATACTTAGTATCTTTGAGTTAATTAGAAAAAATCCCAACCACGTTTCCTTTCTCATCATTAGTGACAACTAGATGGATAATCACAGATACCACATCTATGCAGCTTCCACCAGAGGGAGCCCCCAGCCTCCAAACAAGGAAAGTTCCTGGAGTCTACAGCAAGAGTGGAAAATGTCAGCCTCTGGTTCTTCTGAGCTCACCTCTTCCCACAGTAGAGATTTTTAGCTGCTTTAACAGCAAAGCTCTAAGGTTTGCATTTCTATTGGAATGAACCATTCTCCACACTATTCTTCACATAAAAATTGTGGCAGAATTTGTGAGTTGCCACCCACTGCAATTTCCATTCTCTCTATTTCACAATAAGAGAAGTTATATCTGGTCATATGCCTTCCTAGATATAAGACTGAATTTCCCAACTCCCTTGCAGTGAGATGTGATTGTATGACTGGATTCAGGCCAATGGAATGTGAGTGGAAATCAAGTGTGTGACTTCTGGGTCTTGCTCTTGAAAGGAAAGGCCTGTGTCATCTTCTCGCCCTCTTTCCCCTTCCCTCAGTCTGGAGGATGTAGTGGTGAGCTGCCCCTCCCACACGTTCAATGGCAACTCCTTGGTGACGGCAGAGCAACAAGGAGTGAAGAGCCTGGGTACCCAACACCACTGAACTTCCGTACCAGACTTGAATCACTGTTACTGAAGAAATTGCTTTACCTTGCTTACCATTACATATTGAGGTCTTGTGTTATAGTGGCTTAGCCTGCATCCTAACTAATACATGATTCACTCTGTCTAGTGAAAAGAAGATGTAGAAAAACGATAAACTTACCAGCCGTTCTGCCATGACTAGGAGAGTGTTCACAGCATCCAGGCGATGACTAATATCCTCCCAGTATGAAGTCAGGGTAACAACTGGCTTTGTGTGGGCCCAAGGCAAGTAATAATAGTAGTTCCCTGGTATAGAATATTGAGGGTCAGTGAACACTGAACACTTGAAATAAACAACATGTTTATTAAAGAGATGTGCAAACTGGGTTACTTATTAATCACATGCTCAGGGAATGGTTTGGGGTGGTTGGGTTCTTTAATTTGTTCAATTAAGCAACTGAGGGATAGAAAGTTCTTATTCATTCAGCCTGTTTTGAAAATCTCTCTAAAAATCCCTAGTAAACTGAACACAACAATCTTAGAATCTTTTAGTGGTTGAGGATCATGTATTTGAACATCACTGATGATTCCATAACATGGTAGCAGGAAATATACAGAGCATCGCAAATTAGATTGTATGCATTTGTCCCTGGAAACTGTTATTCTAAATTAAAAAAATTTTTTCTAGAAGTGGGACACACACACACACACAAAAAGAATTTTCTGTTTTTTCAAAGCCTTTACTAAACACATGGGGTTTGTATTAGAGCCTTACAGTGATTAAAAATTATTAGCTAACATTTTTAAGTACATTTTATATTTTAACACTGCAAAAATTAGGTAAAAACTATGGTAAAACTGTTGGAAAATTTGATCAGAATTTCTCTCTCCCTTCTCTATGCTCTCAAACCATTTGTTGATACCTTTATTAGAGTATTCTCATACTCTGCCTTCTATTATGATTTACTTTATACACTAGAATATAAGTTCCTTAAAAGCAGGAACTGTTTTCATCCATCTTTGTTCAAATACAGCTACTTAATCCTCACAGCAACTCTGAAGAAAATGAAGAAACTGATGGTTAGAATTCGGTGATGTGGCTAAGGTTATCGAGCTGATTACAGGGCAAAGACCAGAAACTTGATTTTCAGAGCCTGAGCCAGAGTCCTAAGTACTTCAACTACTCAGTCTAAGAGTGATTTTTGGGCCTGGTAGGGCAGAGGTGAGAAAGGGCAGGAACTGTTTTTTGGGAGCTCAGTGTTCAACAGGTCACCATTTTGTGACTTTACAAAACAGAGCCAGTGTTAAAATTGGGCATGGGGCGGGGGTGGGGTGGGGTAGGGGGGCGTTTAGCCCCTGGCAAAGGGCCTGCGATTTCTTGGATTTGACCAATTAAAGGTGTCTGAAGTCCAGCCACCTCTCTTAACCATTCAACCTTTTCCTTTCTCCTAAGCATATGATGGGGATAATAGCTGCCAGAGTTCTGCATGCTTTTTGTCCTGTGTTGCACCCACTGTAAACGTGTACAGGATAGAAAAGTTAGTGTCAGTCTTACCATCAAATACGGCACGGCTGTATTGAGTGGTTGATGCCAAAGGCTTACAGGTTGAGTCAAACTTGTTCCCATAGTTCCCAATGCTGACTTCAAACTGAATTGCCTCACCAACATCCTGCAACATGGTGGCCGAATGGAACACAGCAGACAGGCTGTACTTCCGCCTTCGCTGATATTTCTGTAAAGTATGAGCAGAGATAGGACTCAGTGAAACTCCTTTTGCTCTAATTTACATGTAGATTTCTAGCATCTG